GTGAGGGTTCTTTTCCTTTAACCAGTTAGCTTTAATGACATTTATTGTCAGATTGACGAAAAACTTCGCTTGGTGTCCCTCCTCTATAATCTTTCCATAATCAAACCCTGATGGGATTATGTCAACCTATCAACAAAGAGCAAACACATCTTGTAGGCGTTCTTCATCCTGCTAATGACCATGATGGTTTGTGGTTGCCCGTTAACGATTCGTTGCTTCAACCCCCCTCCCATCCTATATCCGCTTCCACCATCGTTTTTACCTCATTTAGTATGCAAACAATGAATGTGGGTGCTAGCTAAGCAAACCGGTCAAGCCAACAAGAGCACATTACAAGACACGATCCCTTTCAAAAGGAGTTCTCATCGTTTTCGAGCATACCTTACCCGATCATCGTCTTCCCCCGAACATAACACGTATCCATTGTAAACGAATACAATGCATAGGTTGCTTTCGGTTCGTATACAACTTACTGGCATATGCGCATTACTGGAACAACCCCTTATATCCGAAGACAATGCATATGCATTTCTCTTCAAGTTTTTAATTTTTTTCAAGAACTCGAATACAACACATATGCGTTATGTTCAGGGGAAGACGGTAGGCAAAGGGAGACCATGACTCACTGAGAATCCATCCCGTGGGCAAATAACTTGGAGATTTCATGGACGACAACCGAGTTGCTCCCTCCAAACACGTTGAAATTCTTGGGGGTTACAATTTGTATCATTGCTCATCGTCTTCCCTTCTTCAGTAAGAAATACCATTTTGACACTATGCGACCTCAGTTGACATATGATTTGCAGGTACATAATTGTCAAGATGCCCCAATGCTTCTTTCGTTTCTTCTCCTTTTCCTTTTTTCTTTTTTTTTTTCCTCATCCTCGTCATGTTCTCCTCCTTTTTTTTCGTTCGTTCTTCTTCTTCTCTTCCTCCGGGCACTTTAGAATTCTCACGGGTTACAATTTGTATCCTTCCTCATCGTCTTCCCTTCTTCCGTCCTTCTTCGCTGCTGCTGCTTCTCCTAAGTGCTCATCTTGGGCCTTAACTTTCATCCCACTCACTTTGCCTTGTGGTAAGCATTCTGATTTTCAATCAGCAAGTTGCAGGTTCGATGCCTGGAGGGAGCGATTGAATTGCGATTTTCAGAACCATTGGATTTCGCGCTTGGAGGCAACCGATTAAGCAATGAGCTTCAATGCAGCATGCTTCGAGCTTACGGGAAATAA